AATCAAAGTGTTTAATAAGATCAAGCTTCAAATATTTAATGAAGAAAGATAGATGACATGAGTGTTTATCATGAATGTGTCTGGTATTGAGCTGTGTGCTTTTACACGCATTCTCACTTAGTCTGCCTAACCATCTATGAAATGAATACCTTCCATTCTATGGAATAGAAAACTGGCTTAGAAAAATTAAGCAGCTTGTTCTACTTCAACTAGCAGGTAGCAAGGCAGAGACAAGTTTGAAGCCAAGTTTGGCACCCTAAAGTGTTCTATGTTATAAAGATTTTATACATCAATGGTTACCAAACACAGGAGGTATCAGAATCACCACGGATGCTTTTAAATACAGGTTCTAAGGCCTCACCCAAATCGACTCAATCAGATTTGGGAATGCACTGTCTATCGTAGTCCATCTTCTGGTATCATTATTTTCATCATTCTCTGTATTCCTGTAGAGTTCAGTACCTTCAATGGAAATGTCTTTAATTTCAGCACTGATTTACATTCTCAAGAAACTTTTTCTTAGATTTATTTGAATCTAAACATGACCCTACACATCACAAACTGTATTTATATAGAGAGTGAAGTTTCACTTCTTGACTACTTTTTACTATCCCCATTTTCTTAAATTTCAGAGCATTCAAAAGTTGTACCTCATGGATTAAGTTAGATGGCAACAGGCCACGTTAGTATGCCTGAATTCTTTATGTACAAAGTAGTAATATCCTTGGTTAAGGCTTTGGATATAGCTACGTCATAAAATCTGGTTTAAATAAGTTAGAATTGGCCCAGACTAAGAGACTTCATCTTCATTTCTTTTTTAGCATGTACTCTTGACATTAAATTTTAACACACAAAAATATTGACCTTACCTCTCCAGAAACCAGAGCTATCACCATCTTCAAACTTGCTGTTTGAAAAACCTATACAAAATATAAAATGAAACAATTTCCTGTACCTCTGTGGTAATAATAATAATAAAAATAATAACCACACAGGGATTACTAGTTATGAAGACTTTTTAAGATAAGCAGTACACAACTGTATACATAGCTATCACATGCAAATTCACTCAGGCTGTAAACAATTTCTGCTTTGTGTCAGTTTATCAACTCCATTCTCTTAAGGTTAAAAACAACTTTCTTTTCAGCCAATTCTATATTACCTCAATTGTCACATACTCCTCTATACGCACATCGGCAAAACAGAGGAATATGTCAGTGTAACCACTATATGTTTTCTATTTCAAACCATCAAAATTCTCAAAATTTTACAAACTCAATCTCTTCATCTGCTAAGGACAATACAACTAAATTATAATCCAATAACTCAATGATTTTCTCCTCAATAACATGAAAATCTTGTTAGCTTCTTTTTGTTTACTCTTTTAAAAAAAGTCATCAAACTTATTTGTTTGCTTTCAAACTTATTTCCTAAAAACCTACGTCTAAGAGTTATGCATCTCTGGAGCATACAGACAGGTCTCTAGGACTAATTTTAAAAAGTATTCATCAGTAATCTTTCATAAAATTAAAAAATGTTTTTAATAAGTTTAAATAAAATAATCTTTAGTGCAAAGGCACTCAGGGAATATATACCTTCAAACTAAATGTCAATATGGAATGTCTGTCAATCAGTATTTAAACTCAATTATTAAAAAATCACTCAAGTTTTGATTGTAAGATGTCATAACCAAGTAATTACCTCTGTTTCCAAAACTCTTTCCAACTCCAAAACCACCCATTGTGGATGTATTATCTCTTTTATTAGACTCACCAGCATCTGAAAAAGGTCAGATTAAACTCTTTAACATACAAAATTAAGTGTGTCATCATCAAAAACTAAGAATTAAATGAATTCCCGGCGTAAAGGGACTTCCAAGGATGGGAATAGAGTAGCATAGAAACCTAAAATTAATTAACATACCTGCAACTTAAAATAAAAACTCTTAAATTATGATACCAAGGTAAAAACAAATCTACTACTGGTGAAATATAGCTTTCTACTTATTGGTATTATATTGGAGACCTTCAAGCAGGAAAATTCTGCTCCATAGTTTTCTATATGTTGAATTCTCATCCTGATAGAGCCAGCTATTATACTCTGCCCTGTATGAAAGTCATTGCTATTGAAAATGCTATACTGTGTCCTGTTTAACTGTTCTATTTTTTATTTTTCTATTTCTTATATTTATCACATCCTTTCCACTTTTAAAATTAAAACAAGGGAATACATAAGAGAAAAACCTAAGACTACCACTCCCCTCCTGGCCTCCGCATTTCACCATACTATTTTCCCATACTAACTTTCTTAGCTTTGTTTCTCACTACGTAATTCTAAACACCCAACATTTTAATTCACACCAAACAACTCCAAAACTCCACATTGTCAACTGCTAATTTTACATCTTTGTACGTGCTATTCCTTTGGCATAGCATTCCCTGCTTTCCTATTTGTCTTATCAAAATTCATTTCATTCTTCAAAAAAAACAATTATGTGAAGTCTTCCTTTAGCCCTCCAGTCATAATTTATACTTCTTCCACATTCCCACAGCATACTATCTGTACCTTTTTAAAGGAGTATTTCTTTCCATGTGTTTCTCTACCACTAAATTAAAAATCTCAAGGGCAGAGATGTGATAGCAAGAAGCAGGATTATTTAAAATAAAAAATTAAAAAAATAACAGGAGAGACATCCAAAACAGCATAAAATGACGTTTTAAACTATCACTGAGAAAAAAAGTAAAGCATTCCCTGTGATCCCTATATACTGTCTTACTTACCTCTGTAATACCCTTGTAGAGGGGAGTTAAAAGGGATCTGTGTAACTTCTAAAACCACAGGTAAAATTGTGTATGCCCAACTATAAAAGTATTTTAATCAGATTTCAAAGATGTGTGATTCAAGAAGTCCAAGCTACTTAGACATACTTCACAGGACATAACAAGCTAGTGGATATTTTAAGCAATTAAGAGTCAACTTCGAAAACCACATTATTAGTTATGCAAGTTCTACTGAGAAGAAAATCAAGATTGAAACTATATAGGCCAGGCGCGGTGGCTCACGTCTATAATCCCAGCACACTGGGAGGCCGAGGTGGGTGGATCACCTGAGGTCAGGAGTTTGAGACTAGCCTGGCCAACATGGTGAAACCCCATCTCTACTAATAATACAAAAAAATTAGCTGGGGGTGGTGGTGCACACCTGTAGTCTCAGCTACCTGGAAGGCTGAGGCAGGAGAATTGTTTGAACCTGGGAGGTGGAGGTTACAGTGAGCCAAGATTGTGTCATTGCATTCCAGCCTAGGCAACAAGAGCAAAACTGTCTCAAATAAAAAAAAAAAAAAAAAGAAACTATATAAAATGTTGGAAGAATCATACGGAAAGTAAGTTATACTCATGGGTCTACAAATGTCCCAGGTTATAGAAAATATAAAGCTAATTGTTTAAAGTATTAACAACTGAGAGTTCTGATCAGAAATTTTATGTGTATTTCAATCTAAAACATGAAAATAATTTGTGGTAAAATCTGCCTCAGTGATGATTTTCTCACTGAAAAAGGTTTTATTCAATAATATTTAGAAGACTGTATCAAAATATCACATAACCTCTACTAAAATGTAATTTTAAAATATATCTAAATACTAAATATGCTCCTAAATATATTATTTCTAATGTCAGTAGTAGCTAATAAAACCTCATTTGAATCTCTTAGCACAATTACATTGTTCAAATAAGCAATGCATCTTAATATGCAGTCTTAAAAACCAAAATATATGTGATATTTGATTAATCATTTCCATTAGTGGCAGAAACATGTCAAAATATAAGACTCAAATTTGCGTTCACTGTATCTAAAGAAATTTTCCAAATGTCAAATAAAACATCATGCATCTTTTAGTTTCCACAACAAAAATATCTGAAAGTATCAATAGAGTTTTTCAAAAACTCACATCTCATAAATTCAAGAATAAGTGTCAAGTATGTTTACCAAATAGCCCTAGCTATAGCAACCCCTAAAAGAAAAAAAAAAAAATGACCATAGGGATTTTCAAACAAATTTAGCTTGAAGTTCTAATATGTTATTGCACTATAATAAAATACAGCACATAGTATTTCTAGCATGTTAATATTAAGTCTAAAAATGCACTGTAGAAAGAGGTTTTGCTGTGTCATTATCTGTCATATCAGGTGGTTGTTCTAAAATTAAAAAATCCAATAATGGCAAAATAAGCTCTTAAAAAATTAATACTAATGAGCTAACACATGTTTCCTATACTGCCTTTTCTTGAAAAATATAAAATTCAAGAAAGAGTCCTTCTCACCTCTAATCCCTGAAGCTTTTACAAACATTCTTACCACGTCAACTGATGGAAATCAATATCATAAACACGTTAAGAAGCAGCTCTGTGAATCATCTGTCCATCCAACCCATCCATCCCTCCAACCAATCTGTCTAATCAACTTAACACTACTCCCTACTAGCCCAAAGAAGTAAAACAGCAAAAAGAAAATGAACTTGGAAAAACGATGAACTCATTATCTCAACACCAAGTCTACTATACACTGAGTTACAACAGATTTAGTTTTGTGCCAAACGGCTATGAAAGCCTCTGTATATACAATTATTCAACAGTTCAGGAGATTAAGGAAAGACAAAGATGCTTACCTCTGTTTCCAAAATTCCGCCCAGAGGCAAATCCACTTTTCATGAAATGATCTCTTCGAGAAGGTCCATCATCCATTTCTAAAGCAAACAACATTTTGAAGTCAGTCAAATAAAAACAAGTATCGAGTACTTGCAAACCTTAAGCCTTCTCAATGTGCCGCATGTGGCAAAGAAGAAATTTTACATAGCAGTAAAAAAGATGACAATCAGCCCAGTTAAAAAAAAATGGCTATATGAATAGCTCTCCAAAAGAAAAATAAATTGTGACTAAATCTCACTCATAAAGAATTAGAAATCAAAAGACAGCAATTTTTAACCTCATAATTGAATGGAAAACAGTCCTTTCCGTTCCCTGAAACAAAATAACAAAATAAATAAATTTTTAAAAAATGGAAACCAGTCTTAAGTTTGCTAATAGCCAGAACAAAGACACAGGGAAACAAGCATAAAACATACACTGTATTTAGAGTATAAACTAGATCAATCTTGATCCTAATTTAAAAGGCATATACGCTGAAAGTACAGTAACATGAATTTCTCCTCTGGATACAATCACATGGTTATCCAGAAAGACACATAAAAAAAGTTTTTATAAGCGTTGTCTGTAATACCAAATAAATGATCAAAGTGGAATAAAGAAATTATGGTCATCCATACAATAGTATGCACATAGATTTCACAGAAATATACAGCATTCAACATTAAAGAGCTCACATTCTTCAACAATGGAGAGTGTTTACAAACTGGCCATGTAGAAGGCCATAATACAAATTCAACAAAAGAGTTCAAAAATCAATTCATATACATGAGATTCTCTCATCACAATGCAATCAAATCAAAAGCTATTAAATATGAGACAAATTGTTTAAAATCCCATTTGGTGACATATTTTTAAAAACACTTCTATATAACCCACAGCTCAAAAAAAAAAAAAAAGCACACAATGGAAGTTTCAAAATACTTCAAATTATATGATAAAAATGTGACTTTATCAGTATTTAAATATTTACGCTAGAAAATAAGAACTCAATAAGCTTAATAGCCATCTCAACAAGAATACTAGAAAAACAAAGTAAATCACACAAAAGTAAAGGAAATAAAGAATGAAAATTAATAAAATAGGAAACAGCTTTGGGAGCCCAAAGTGGGAAAAGATGCTTGAGGCCAGGGATTTGAGACCAGCCTGGGTAACATAGCAAGACCCTATCGCTACCAAAAAAAAAAAAAAATTAAGTAGCTGGCTGTGGTGGTGCACACCTGTAGACCCAGCTACTCAGGAGGTTAAGGCAGGAGGATCACTTGAGCCCAGGAATTCAAGGCTGCAGTGAATTATGATTAAATTACTGCACTCCAGCCTGGGAAACAGAAGGAGACCTTGTCTTTCTGTCTGTCTGTCTCTGTGTCTCTTTTCTTTTAAGGAAAACAAACGTAATATAATGGCTCAAAAAGGCCAGAACTTGGTTCTTCGAAAAGACCTATAAAATTTGCCAGGGTAACAAATTACTAGAGGACCAATAAAGGGGGTGAGGGGAGAACAGATACAAAGATACAAATGAACAGTATTAGAAACGTGTTTAAAAAGAATCTCAAAGATAGAAGAGAAAGACAACTAGAGAACTTCTCTGAACAACTTTATGCTACTAAATTACAAGAAATGAAAAAGTTCCTAGAAAATTAACTCACCAAAAGTGATTCAAGAATCAATAAAAAACCCAACTTTCCTACAGAAGTTAAATCAGTACTTAAATTTCTGCATCAGAAAGATGCAGAGATCGTGTTTTACAGGTGAGTTCTATCAAACTCTCAAAGGACAAATCATTCAACTGTCACACAACTCTTCCAGGAAACAGAGAAGTAACTCACTAACTCATTCTACAGACCAACATAACCTTGATATGAAAGTTCAGAAGAAAATTATAAACCTCTTACTCATAGATACAAAATCTCAAAAACAAATATTAGCAAACCAAACCCAACAGTAAATTGAACGGATAAAATATATTATAACTAATTGGGTTTATCCCAGTTTGCAAGGGTATTTAACATTACAACATCTAAAAAAGGTAACATACATGAATAAAAAAAAAAAAACTAATCTCTCCAGATAAAAGTATATGACATACACTTTTTGAAAGTCATGAAAGTATTTAACACCTTTCATGACTTAACATATACTTAGCAAACTAAGGAATGATGAGTTTGTTCATAACAGCAAAAAAGGAAACAACCCAAATGTGCATGAGAATTTTTTTTGTTGTTTTTGAGATGGAGTCTTGCTCTGTCGCCCACGCTGGAGTGCAGTGGCGCGATTTCGGCTCACTGAGACCTCTGCCCCCCTGGGTTCAAGCAATTCTCCCGCCTCAGCCTCCTGAGTAGCTGGGACTACAGGCGTGTACCACAATATCCAGCTAATTTTTGTATTTTTTTTGTAGAGACAGGTTTTCACCACACTGGCCGAGCTGGTCTTGAACTCCTGGCCTCAAGTAACCCACTCACTTCGGCCTCCCATAGTGCTAGGATTACAGGCGTGAACCATCGTGCCTGGTGGGTAATGTTCTTACAATTAGTGGTGGTTCAAAACATTAAGCTTTATGTTTTCCACAGGACTTTAATACATTAGATTTTTTTAATGAAAAATTCTTCAATAAAGATTCTACAATAAAGTCACAGGGTAACAATTATTCTTGGGAATCCTACCTCTCACTAGTTGGAAAAGAAGTCATTATATGAAAAGATACTTGCAAACGCATGTTTATAGCAACACAATTAGCAATTTCAAAAATATGGAACCAGTCCAAATGCCCATCAATCAATGAGTGGTGTATACATACACAATGGAATACTATTCAGTCAGAAAAATGAAATGAAATAATGGCATCTGCAGCAACCTGGATGGAATTGGAGACCATTATTCTTAGTGAAGTAACTCAGGAATGGAAAACCAAATAGCAGATCTTTTCACTCATAAGCAGGAGCTAAGCTATGAGGATGCAAAGGGTAAGAATGATACAATGGACTTCAGGAACTTGGGGAAAGGAGTGGGATGGTGGGTGAGGGATGAAAGACTACAAATTGGGTACAGTGTATACTGCTCGGGTAATGGGTTCACCAAAATCTCACAAATCACCACTAACGAACTTACTCATATAAGCAAACACCACCTGTTCCCCAAAAACCTATGTAAATAAAAAATACATAAAAATGATGGTACAAAAGTATAAGGTTCTAAGAAAGAATTAACCCAGTTACCTTGTTATTAGCACACAATCCTAAGGAAAATATACAATTATTTCCTTTCCATTTTTTAGTAGTTTTAAATCTCACAGTAGTTTCACATGTAAATGTGAAAGTTTACATTCACTTTCATGAATGTAATGATATGCTGTCATTGATATATATCATGGCAGTCCCCATAATACATATTATACATGGCAATAAAAATAAGCCCCTAATACCAATAAATGATGGAGTATAGATGCTCTTCCTGAATGCTACGAAATCCACGAAAATAAACCAAAAGAAATAAAAATGAAGTCCATTTAAAATGAATTTAGTGTTAGTGTACACAATCCCCAACTGACCACAAAGAATATCTCCCAACATAGTTACACTTAGACCAAATCCAAAGAGGCTCAAATGTTGAACAACAACTTTAAAAAAATCCATATACTAAAACCACCAAGCGAAAGAACCCAATTATGTATGAGACTTCAGTATGAGCTCTAGGACTCTATAATCTTCCAACCTTTCTTCACAGTGATTTGCCTAAACCAGAATGAGGAAAATTAAAGGAAGATGAGAAAAGACTTGGTGGCAAAGAGTTTTGAAACTATTTAGTGGTGCTTAGGGCTGCCAGCTGTCCTGACTTCTAATCCCTTTCATTATCCAAAGTAGCTAAAATACTAAACACTTAGAATTCAGTGTCAAGTCTTTCAAGTAGAGACCTCAGAGTATAACAGTAATGTGCATTCAAATTACCTGGTGATCTCATTAAAACATACATTCTGATGCAGTAGTCCTGGGTGCGGTATGAGATTCTTCAGTTCTAACAAGTTCCCAGGTGATGCCAATGCTACTGTTCTGTCAATCACATTCAGAGAAGATTTTTATATCCACCAAAAGACATGAACTAGAAAATATTCTTAAGAGAACCATTCATAATAGGCAAATACTGGAAACTATAAAAATGACCATCAATATTTTAATTTATGGTATATTTACATAGGGAATATCATACATCCACGAATAACCTACAACTACTTCTAACAACTTGGAGAAAACCTCAACAAAAAAAGAACATAATGTATGATGCCATTTTATATGACTGCCATTTATAGGGAAAACTGATCTATGCTGTTAGAAATCAGAATAGTAGTCACCTCTGGACAGAAGCACAGTGCCTGGAAGAAAAATGAAGGCTTCGAAGGTGCTGTTAATATGCTGTTTTTCTTCATCTGAGTGCTGGCTTTCAGGGAGTGCTCACCTTGTGATAATTTAGTGAGCTGGACATTTATGCTGTGTATCATACTGAAATACATATTGAATCTATGTGTACACTATGCTTCAATAAAGTTGAAAATAAAAAAAAGAATCTGCCCTGGCCTAGACAGTTTTATGAACAAATTCTATATAACTTATAAAAAACAGGCAATTTTCACATTCCAGAGCTTATTGGAAAACATGAAAAGCTTGAAACCAAAATCAAGTGAGGACAACATGACAGAAGAAAACTATACACCAATCTTACATTAATTCAGAAGTGCTAACTAAAATATCTAATTTCATCCAATACTACAATAAAAGAGCCATGTAAGGCTTAGCCCAGGAATAAAAAGTTCATTTAAAAATTAATTTACTACATTAACAGACATAAGGGAGAAATAATAGAAATCAGTAATTCTAAAATGCCATTTGATAACATTCAACTGCCATTCCTGAACAAAACAAATATTCAAGTAGAAATGAAAAGAAATTCTCTTGGCATGATAAAAAAAAAAAAACAACTATTAGTAGCCTAATGCAAATATCATAATTATAAAAATTTGGGAGCATTCCCATTGAAGTGAGGAAAAGCCTAG